CCCTCAGTTTGTTTTTCAGAGTCCATCGTCTCTCATGGTTCGTCTACCCCTCCGATTTCCCCCGCTTCTGAAGAGGTTTCTAAGGACCCAGAATAGAGCTCTGTCCTGGGTGCTAAAGGTACTTTTACTCATCTTTGTCTACCTAAGGACTGTTTCAGGCACCATCAAAGGAACCAGAGATTGGTTTCAGCATTTAGGGGAGAGGCAAATTTACTTATAAGGTAGTACATAGTCAAAGGTAGGAGTGCTATATTTACTATTCTGTTCAAGGGGCCAAGGTTTGCCAGGGATACATGGGATCGTTGCATACAAGGTTCCTCTTCTGGTTTCCAGGAAAACAGCCCCATAAACAGTATAAACTCAAGATGACTAGTTTGGGACGATGAAAGCCACACTTACTCACCTTTCAATAAACTATATATTATAACCGTTACTGAGGTGTCCTACATGTGATTAAATATTTTTAAAATACAAAATTCAGTGCCATCTGTTTCAACAGATTTCTGTTCTCCTGGTCCCTCTGGCACCTCTAGTGGTTCAGCCCATCCTGTGAAGGTTGAAGAACCTTGAAAGGCCCAACCTGAATTGAAAGAGGGAAGCAAAGAGCAAGGTTTCCTAACTTGGACTGGATGGACATCACGCTAGTAGGGGACTGCCACTCTTGCTCTGGTCTTCCTGTCTTCACTTAACTCACACTGGGTCCTATACTGGCTGTCATCCCAAAATTGTGGTGATGCTGAATCTCCAGAGCCTGGGCCCTTCCCCTTCTTTGTAGGAATGAGTTTTTCATAGGACAGCCCCACAACTCTTACTCCTTCTACATGTCACTTCTGAGCCCTAGGACACTTTATTATTATTTTTTTAATGTTTTATTTATTTATTCATGAGAGTCAGAGAGAGAGAGAGGCAGAGGCAGAGGGAGAAGCAGGCTCCCCGCCCAGCAGGGAGCCCGACGCGGGACTCGATCCCAGGACCCTGGGATCATGACCTGAGCCGAAGGCAGACGCTTAACCATCTGAGCCACCCAGGCGCCCCAGCCCTAGGACACTTTAAAAGGAGGCTTTGGGTCTAGACTGTAAAGATTGGGGTTAATTTTACTCTAGGACTCCCAGAAAATATTGTCAAAGCGTGGTCTCTTTAGAATAGTTGTAAGTGGCATAGGGTAGGAGCTGAGTACCATGCAGATAACAGTAAAGATGTTTTAATGATTTAGGAATCTAATATTCAAATAATTGATTTATTTTCTGAATATAATTTTATTGGTATAAGATAAAGTATTACTAAACTAGCCGATATTGTTCCTGGACAGAGTACCAGTTCTGAACTCAGGTTTAGCTGCTTGCCACTCCAAATCAACACTCGAGAGACAAGTGATGGTGGGAAAGCAAAGGTTGCTTTATTCAGGAAGCCAGCAACCTGGGAAGACGGTGGACTAGCTTCTCAAAGACCATCTTGCCCATCCAGACCAAGGTGGAGGCTTTTAAAAGGGAAGGCATGGGACAAGGGGGAGGGGGGCTACATGGAGGAGAAGCAGGTGCCCCAGCAGTTAGGTGTATGTCAACATGACCCTGAACAGACCTGCTGGTATTCATGGCACCTGTTTTTGAATGTAGTCAGACCTTATCTTCTGCGAAAGTTCGGTTCTTCACTCCTTAAGGCCAGTGGTCTGCAAATTGCAAGGAAAGTAGGTTAGTTCTGTTGCAGACCAAGGGACTTAGGTCAGCAAGCAAGGAGCCCATAAACTTGAAGCGAGCTGGAGTGCTGTTACAATATCAAATTAATCAAGACCTCTATGATTTCAAAAGCCAGTATAAATTATATCAGTCTCACATTGCTGAGGGATCATTGCTTTGCATAAATAATTGAAACTTTGAAAGAGGCCATGAAGTAGATTAAAGTACGTTCCCTAGAACATACATGAGGTGTGGAGTTACTTAGTGTGAACCTAGACTAGTGATGGTCACCTTGTTACCAATGCACGATAAGTAGAGAAACCTAGAGTAAGCCTCAGAAACTTTAACAGCAGTTTGGCAGAAGATTCTTTTATGTGTTATATCTAATAATAAAAAATTGGGGCTTGTATTTTGTATCCTTCGCTTTTTATTTCATTTTTCTAATAATGCTTTGTTACTGTATTTTCCAAAAGTACCCATCTGGGATGGCTTGGAAAAACAAAACGGGTCCTTTACCACAGAGTCTGAGAAACACTGAAGTAGGAGCTTACAGTACACCCTCGCAATGTCCTATGAAGTTCTTAGATACTCTGATTCATACCATGTTCCAAATTTTGAAAATTGGTTATTCATGCATGAGTCTACATAAAATTTTTAATGAAATCAATGTTCATTTTTGCAAAGATGATTTTTTAAAGAGAAAGAGCTGGTCCGGGATCAGAAGCTGGTCTGTAAAATGGTGCAGTGCCTGGATCTACACTTCCCAAAAAGGAGTGGAAAGCAAAGTAGATGATAATACTCAAACTTTAATTCCTAGACCCAAATCGTGCTTCTAAAATTAAAGCGTTCTTGTGCAAATATCCTGAGCCCTTCCTGCAATAAAGAGGCAGGCTGATATCCCCGGCGTGCCAAGACCCTCGCACCCGAGTCCTCGGCTGAGGGAACATCCCGCCCTGCATCCCGCAGGCGCTGAAGGAGCCCCGCGCGTCCTCTGGCACACCTGCGCCGCCTAGGGACGACGAGAGTCCGGATTGGCTTGGGCCCGGCCCCGCCCCTCGGCCTACCTCACCCCACCCGGGCCCCGGCTCCGGGAGCGCACGGCGGGCCGCGATTGGAGGGCCCAGGGCGGAGTCGATGACGCGAGGGGAGCGGGGGCCCCGCCGGGCTCTGATTGGACAGCGGCGGCGGCGTGGCCGCGTAGGGTGACTGGATTCCTCTGCTCCGGAGGCGGTGGCGGGGCCCCTGCGCGGCTCGGCGGTGGGGAGGGAGACCATGCGGAAAGTGGTGGTGGTCACCGGGGCCAGCAGGTGAGGCGTCCTCGGTGGCCGCGGCGGCGGCGGGTCAGGAGTCGCAGGGAGCAGGAAGTACAGGGCCGGACCACCGCAGGCGACCCCCGTCTCCCCCGGAGCAGGCGTCCCCGGCCTTGCCCGGTGGGGCGTCGCGCGAGCCCCTGCCCCGTAGTCCCCGGGTCCTCGCTGCGCCCGCTCCGGGCGTCCGGCGGCTCGAGGCGCACAGTAACCAGTGCTGGAACTGAACGTGACGGCGGAAAGGAAAACTGGAGCGTCGCGGGGGTCCTGCTGATGTCCGGGACGAGGGCGCTTCCCACGCGGACCCCGCCTCCTCCAGCTGGTCCGTGTCGACCTCGGTGCCCGGCGCTTAGCGTCGCGACCGTCGTGTGCTCCCAGTGTTGTATCTGTGCAGGACTTTGCCCCCCAGATAAGGTTCAACACCCATGAGTAGTGGGTCGGGGGTGGGGGTGTCATTCCACCCAGCACAGAGCTAGACACCTAGACACGCTCTTAAAAAAGTAAACCTCTACCTGGCGAGGCGTGGCAGGAGTGCAAATAACCATCACCGCCAGTTCCTAATTATTTCAGGGCCGCCCATGTGGACTCTCGGCCTCTTCTGTCCCCCGCTTTTATTCCTCATCCGCATTCTGTGAAGAATGTGGGGAGGATGACACCAACCAAACCATTCTGCCTGTTGCAGTGGGAGGTTTTGAGGGATTAAGGCAGAGGATATGTCAAATGTCATCTAAAATCCGTCCGCTTTCGCTTACCTAGCCACACCCATGTTAGCTCAGCGGCGTGGCAGGTGTCTGTGAGTGCCCTGAACAACTGATAGGGTGCTTCCTAAGCTGAAGTCCGAGTCGGAACTGTTTTTGTGTGTTTCTTTTTTTTTAACGTATATTGTGATGTATGCACTTGGATATTTATTGTAAAGACCTACTGTTCTCAAGTGAGGAGGAGTAAAGGTAAATATATTTGATGCTCTGTTGGCAAGGCCCAGGCTTTGGTTGTGCTCAGCCCAGCTGGTCTTGAGTGGTGTCCTCATTTACCGTGTGGTTTCAAATGCCATTTCTGAAGGAGTTTATCTGTCTTTGTCTTGTGCCCTCATCCTCCTGCTCTTCCCTGGTGCCCATCTTATGTTTCCTCTTCGTACCTGCTGCTTAATCAAGTTGAGTTTTTTCTCTTCCCGTTGGTTATTCGATCGTAGTAGTTGAGAGGGACTTGCCTCCTGCTGTGTTACTGTAACATTCACCCATTCCTTGTTGGGAATTGCTTGTGCTCCGGATGGTGGCAGCGATACCAACAGGTAGTAGAGCTCTTGCCCTTGAGGAACCTAGACAGCAAAGTAAAACATGCACGCAGGAAACGGCTAATACGATGCTCGTGTCGGCTCTTGCTGGTGATGTACGGACTCCCTTTCATGAGTGTCGTAACAAGTACAGCATGCAAACCACCCGATGAAAAGACAGCGCTCATGTGCTCTCAGAAACACAAACTGGACAGCCTCCTGGGCGAGTGACTGACTATTCAAGTTGGGGGGGGGTGTTCCTTCTTCTGTGAATAATGTTTGAGTCTTCTTTCCTCTGCCTGGGCTCCTCATGGGAGCCCATGTTGACAACAGCGGTTTTCTGGACCAGAGAGCAAAGCCTCCTATTTGGCGCCATCTGAATGAACGCGTCTCCTGTCTCCGAATTGTCCTCACAGTGGCGTTGGCCTGGCTCTCTGCAAGCGGCTGCTGGAGGAAGACGATGAGCTGCACATGTGCTTGGCGTGCAGGAACGTGGGCAAAGCGGAGGCTGTCCGCGCCGCGCTGCTGGCCGCTCACCCCGCCGCCGAGGTCAGCGTCGTGCAGGTGGATGTCAGCAACCTCCGGTCAGTCATCCGGGCCGCCAGGGAGCTCAAGCAAAGGTATGCCTCTTGTTGACGGGTTTTCTCTCACGCGACTGCATGAGACAGCAGTGAATAAAATAAGAAAGGAGAGGAAAACCTAAACATCTTACACCAGGTGCAGTGTAAGAAGTTAGGCTGAGGAGATCCGTACAGAGTGACCCGTGGTGTCTCAGGAGCACATTTTCATGCTCAGTCATAATCGCGATTATTTCATGAGGATTAATTTGAATACACCTTGATGTGTGATTAGTTGGGTGGACATTATGGTAACTCCCTTCTGAATACAGTTTTTGCATCTTTCCTCCGTGTAACGACTTCGTTAAGTAGGTTGGACAGGTGCCTAGGACTTGATATTGGTTGGGTTGGTCTGAGAACCCACATCTGCACCCTATTTCTTCAGAGATTTTTTTCCCCCACAGGCCCTTAAAGATTTGTTTACATCTGCATGGTAATTGGCATGTAATAGGCATTTGAGAAATATTTGGTGTAGGAAGGAATAGAGTCCTTGGACGTATGACTCCCTAGAAAGTGTACACAAAATTGCATATAGGTGCACAATGCATTTTTTCTGGGGAAGGGGGCATGCTTTTTTTTTTTTTTTTTTAATTCTAGGAGGAATTTATGGTCCAAAAAGGTCAGGAGCCCCACACTAGTCCACACTCAGCCCTAAGGATATGGGAATAATTAATTTTCAAACATTTTTGTAATTGAGGTCCTTAAGGAACAAGAGCTGCTTTATTTCCTTGCACAGTAAAACGAAGTACAGTAAAGACACAAAAGGCCTTTTTGGTAAAGGCATTTGCTGAAGAAGACAACTCTGTGTTTTATGTATGGGGATTGCTAGCCCATTTGCATTTCCCTGTTGCAAATGCACGAGTTACAGAGCAAAGGTAGAGCTGGTTTTCTCACCCTGCTCTTCTAGTTTCAGCCTTAGCCTCTTGTGAAATGTCATTTCTCCTAGAATTTTCTGCCACATCGTCTTTCTAAAACACCGAGGAGATTTTCTAGGTTCCATATCCCCTTCTCTTCTATAACTTTGAGTTGCCAAGTCTGTGAAGCTGCACAGTAAACGTCCTTACTGAGTTAAAGACCCTACAGTTAGTATGGAAGTTTTGAGCTCAAATCAGGTGATTTCAGGCATTCCTTTCCCCGAACCTTCTCAGCCAGCTGTCCTTCTGTTTTGTATAGATTTAGTTATATTTCCTCATTTAGCAGAAAAGAACTTTCACCCTCAGTCAAGAATAGCACATTCCAGGCCAACAGACACATGAAAAAATGCTCCACATCACTCAGCATCAGGGAAATACAAATCAAAACCTCAATGAGATACCACCTCACACCAGTCAGAATGGCTAAAATCAACAAGTCGGGAAACAACAGATGTTGGCAAGGATGCAGGGAAAGGGGAACCTCCTACATTGTTGGTGGGAACGCAAGCTGGTGCAGCCACTCTGGAAAACAGTATGGAGATTCCTCAAAAAGCTGAAAATAGAGCTGCCCTACGACCCAGCAATTGCACTACTGGGTATCTACCCCAAAGATACAGATGTAGTGATCCGAAGGGGCCCCTGCACCCCAGTTGTCATCACGCACTGAAATAAAGTTCTCAGACAATGATCGGGGAGGACGGGCAGGACCCACCTCTGTGAGGGGGCAGCAGCTGGATTCTGCGCGTAGCTTTTGTTTCGTTTTGTCAGAAAAGCAAGGACAGGTGCCTCAAAGCATGGGAAAGGAGTACAAAGGAAGGGCAGTTACCTTGAAGACGTGAGGTAGGCCTGCACCTTCCCCTACAAGCAGGCACATAGGAAGGCAGTCACGGGATAAGGGAGAAGCGGGATGTTTGTGCTAGCAATCACCTGAGGCAGGAAGGGGGCCTGAGGCTTACCTTCTTTCCTAGCTCTTAACCTGTGCCCTGCCCCAGGAGATCATGGGTTCCTGTTCGTACCAGGCTATTGCATTCAGTAGCCCAAGACCAGGAACGCTGTTGATGTTTCAGCTGCTTCCGTAGTCACACCTGAGGGCTGACAATACATTTTCTAAGAATAACTCCACACCAGTATTTATGGCAGCAGTGTCCACGATAGCTAAACTCTGGAAAGAGCCCAGATGTCCACTGACAGATGAATGGATAAAGAAGATGTAGTATGTGTGTATATATATATATATGTGCACACATACATATATATGCGCACACAATGAAATACTACTCAGCCATCAAAAAGAATGAAATCTTGCCATCTGCAATGATGTGGATGGAACTAGGGGGTATTATGCTAAGCGAAATAAGTCAATCAGAGAAAGACAATTACATGATCTCACTCATGTGGAATTTAAGAAACAAAACAGTATCATAGGGGAAGAGAGGAAAAAATAAAACAAGATGAAATCAGAGAGTGAGGCAAACCATAAGAGACTCGTAAGCATAGGAAACAAACAGGGTTGCTGGAGGGGTAGGGGTGGGGGGATGGTGGTAACTGGGTGATGGGCATTAAGGAGGGCATGCGATGGAATGAGCACTGGGTGTTATATAAGACTGAGGAATCACTGACCTCTACCTCTGAAACTAATAATACACTATGTTAATTAATTGAATTAAAAAAAAATAAAAAAGAATAGCCCTTTCCAGTACAGCGACTTTCGAGATTTTAGGTTGTAACATTCATAATATTAGGTCACTTAGAAGAACTTGAGGCAGCAGGGCTGTAAGGTGGGAGGGAGCATGGAGGTAAGGCGCACCTGCCATCAGCATTTCAGTGCAGCTTCTGTGTGTTCATTTCATCCCCAGAAGTGCTCCTGTTGGGATGAGTGCTCTCCTCCAGACTTAGCAAATGCTAGTTATAGTGATATTCACAGATGTGGGAATGTGTGCCGATTCCACATACATCTATTGCTTATGTCGAGACTCTCCCGCCCTTAATGGCCCAAGTGATTGTCTGTGATTGTAGACCTGAAGTGAATTACAACTGAAGAGAGCTTGGGAAGGGCCCGTCTGTTGGCTAACACAGCACCATTCCTGACACCTGGGCTTTCTGGCTGTGCGCCTCTCTTCTGTAAGCTATGTGCAGAGGAAAAACTAGTGAGAAATTGCAGTTCTGCTTTATCTGGAAGAGAGCGATTGTGTCGATCATTTAATCTTTGAGAGTAGTAAATATGCCGTTTTACTGAGCGCAGACCTGAATTTGGTGTTCTGCTGCAGTTTCCACTCTTTTGAGCATTGCCTTTCCACTTCGAGCAAAATTTGTTAATGTTCTTAGATGGCAGTTTGCACATTAGGTAATGGAACAGCCAACAATTGATGGGCCCACGTGCATCAGGGAAATACAGATCAGAACCACAATGGGATCCCAACTCACACCGGTCAGAATGGCTAAAATCAACAACTCAGGAAATGACAGATGTTGGCGGGGATGCCGAGAAAGGGGAACTCTCCTACGCTGTTGGTGGGAATGCAAGCTGGTGCAGCCACTCTGGAAAACAGTATGGAGGTTCCTCAAGAAGTTGAAAATAGAGCTGCCCTATGACCCAGCAATCGTACTCCTAGGTATTTATCCAAAGGATACAAACATAGTGATTTGAAGGGACACCTGCACCCCAATGTACACACACACACACACACACACACACACACTGGAATACTACTCAGCCATCAAAAAGAATGAAATTGCCATTTGCAATGATGCGGATGGAGGTAGAGGGTATTATGCTAAGTGAAATAAGTCAGTCAGAGGAAGAGAAATACCATATGATTTCACTCCTATGTGGAATTTAAGAAACAAAACAAAGGAACCTAGGGGAAGGGAAGAAAAAATAAGATGAAAACAGAGAGGGAGGCAAACCATAAGAGATTCTTAACTCTAGGAAACAAACTGAGGGTTGTTGGAGGGGATGTGGGTGGGGGGATGGGGTAACTGGGTGATGGGCATTAAGGAGGGCACGTGATGTGATGAGCACTAGGTGTTATATAAGACTGATGAATCACTAAATTCTACCCCTGAAACTAATAATTCACTATATGTTAACTAAATTGAATTTAAATAAAGAAAAACATAGACTTTATGGCACTTACATGGATGGCCCAGTAGTATCCACATCAGCATTTTAAACAGAAAGTTTAGTAATTAGAGTCATTTGGGGCTGGTAATTACTTACAGAATGATCAAGAAATGTTTGTGTGCCATCTGTCCTGGTAACATGGATGTATTTTAAGGTAGCTGTGGCCCGTATTGTCTTGGACTCTACAGAAGAGGGCATGGAGATAGCGTAATGCATAGAATTGTAGGAGATATTATGAACATTCATGGTGCCTGTGAGTATCATGAGGGCAGGCTTGGCCCTTGTTCAAGAGGAGTATGCTAGATTAAGGCCTACGGAGGTTTAAAAATGAAAAAGCACTCTCAAGTCAGCATGTCACTGTTCTCTCTATGACAGGTGTCCTGGAAGGAGCTTTCCAAGAGTGCCGTACCCCCACTCAGCTTCTGTCATGTGATTGTATTCTTGTGAGCTTTCACCATTTTATGATACAGAGCCCCTGGCCACGAGCAGTGAGCGGTTTCCACATGGATCGGCTGCCTTACTAGATATATTGGCATTCAGGTTCCAGCATTGACGGCTCAGGTTGGGCCATTACTAATATTATATAAATTCTACTTATCAATAGGGAAGATGTGAATCTTAAAAAAAGTAGACAACTTTCTAAGACCAGATGGAGAGTGGGTTTAATAGGCAGAGGGTTACCACCTGTGGTTCCTAATTGGGAGGACAGAGCTGGAAGGAGTCTTGATCTGAAAAGATTTAACTTCAAAGCCCATTATAGTTCCCCAAATTCTGTTTGAAGCCACTGTCAAAAAAAAAGAATACTCAAATATTTACTGTGGCTGAAGAAACAGCATTGGGAAAGAAGTGGTGTAACCCTGATGTGTCATGCGTCCCCTTCAGAAAGCATTTTCTGTCCTTCGTAGGCTTTCTTTAGTCCAGTTGCTCTAGAGATGAACAGTCTTGTCTTGGTGTTTTCCTTGCAGGTTTCAGAGATTAGACTATGTCTATCTGAATGCTGGGATCATGCCCAATCCACAGCTGAATATCAAAGCACTTTTCTCTGGCCTCTTTTCAAGGTAATGTCCATTTTCTAGATGAACTGAGTGGAAGGAATCAGTTGTTTGTTTGTTTTTGCCTGGTTTTGCCCTCAGTAGGTTAAGTTAGGGGGATGAGGGGCGGCTGAGGAGAATAAAGACAGGAAGTATTGCAGGGAATGGGTGCTCTAGGTCTCCAGGACATCCCAAGTGGCTAGATGCTTCGGAAGGTCCATGTTTGATCTGCCGGGATGTGTCTAGTAGCAAGAACATCTCAGAATTGGGCAGAGTTGTCAGTGAGATTGTCCGAGTTGTTAGTACCAAAGCTGCTTTGGAAGCATTTCCCAGCTCTGTGGCAGATACTCTGCCCCGGAGGTGGGGGAAGTGCGTAGAACCAAAGGTCTCCCCGGGAGATTCTTAACACACAGTAGCACAGTGGCTTCCAAAAATGTTTGATCACAACCTACAGTGAGAAATAAATCTTATCTTGTGACTTACATACTTAGGGCATTCTTCGTACATTGCTACTTTTGTTTTACTTCTCTTCCATTACACACACACGCGCGCGCGCGCGCACACACACAGGTCTTGACCTAGTAAATGGATCTCACAGCAAATTACTGTGTTAATGTGTTTGGTGCTTTAAGAATTCCCAGTAAAAAACCAACCTGTGTAACTTGGGCAGTTAACCATCAGTTTGTGCAGGGGAAGACTTTTTCTCCTTTGGCACGGCTGTTATTTCCCCAGAGAAGTTCACCTGCAACCTGATGTGGAAAAAAAGTGAAAAGAGTTTTAGCAGCAGATTTTTTTGAGTCAGGGTCCAATGGGTAGTATGAGTTATAATATAAATACTTCTCTGAATTGGGGGAAAGGAAGCATTTTTGCATCTTATTTATATACACACAATAACACAGTCTGAGAAATAGGTATTTTTATAGGATCAAGGAAAATGCAGTTTTGGGCCGGGGAGGGCGGCAGGGAGGGTTTTCCAGTATTTTCAGTTAAAGAAGCTTTTAAAAGGCATACAATTGTCTTCTCCTGTTTCAGAAAAGTGATTCATATGTTCTCTACAGCTGAAGGACTGCTGACCCAGGAAGATAAAGTCACTGCCGATGGGCTCCAGGAGGTGTTTGAAACCAACGTCTTTGGCCACTTTATTCTGGTAAAAGGACTGGGCTCAAGAAGCTCATATTAGTGCTAGAATCCTAAAGGCTGGCATGGACATGTCCCAGGCCTGTTTGTTAAGCTCATTAATTTATGGCTAGCATAAAATCCTTGAGTATTTAAATGGGGTGATCACTGCACTCTGTGAAAACATTGCTTCCCTAAAGCATTTGATTGATATATTTTCTTTTTTTTCTTTTGGTGTCAATTTTAGAGAGCAGAGACAAAGTGAGAAAGAAACACACAGGTGCCTTCAGAAACAATGTACAGAACTGTGAGGAGGTGTACCAGTCCTGTTCTGAACGGTCTTTGAAACTGGGCTTGGTGCCAGATAGGAGAGGGGAGTGGGCAAGCCACTGTTAAACAAGAGTCCATAATTAGGCTCTTATTATCTTGACTTCTGATTCTTCAGCATCTATACCGTGTGTTATAGTTCCAGGCACACATGCATGTAAGCAAGAGACGTGTAGCTTGTCTCACCTGTTCTGCACTCTTGCTCAGGCATGATCCCAGGGGACAGCTCTACTGTCTAGATTAAATAATGCCCAACTGTGTCGCTGGTGGCCTGTCATTGCCCGGTGTTGGAGGAACCCCGATGCTGGGTTGGCCTGCACAGAGCCTGTATTTCTGACGCCTCTCTATTCACCGCCACTCTTCTTCACCTTCAGCCCCATTTCCCTTAACATTGGAACTCTTTGAGCACTCGCCTGTATTTACAGTAAATGAAGATGTAGGCAAATGTTGGGATATTGTGGACCCACTAAAAGAAATGAGGTAAATGTTTTGCACTTATGTGGGACAGCCTCTCATATTTTATTATGAAGAAGAAATAGCAGGGGCCTGTATGTATAGTGTGAGCTCATTTGTAGAAACAGAAGAAAATCCATCTCTATGTAGTGTATATAAATGTATATAATATTTCTAGAATGATGCAGATAAAACTGGGAGCAGTTTTATGCCTTGATTAACTGGGGTGCCAGGATATCAGGGATGAGGGGGAGCTTCATGTTTCATTCTATAACCTTTAGTGCTATTCATTTCATGCGATGTGGTGTCACTTTTTCAATGACAAAAGTTAATTAAAATGTAAAGTTAGAATGGGATTGAATTCTTGTCTGGTCTTTCTTTATACCTTTACACAGATCCTCTATCTAATATTTCCTTTATCTTTTTATAATACTCGTTCTTTGCTTTCTTTTTGAATTATTAAATTAATTGGTAATGATAGAAGATAATTATCACTAGTCTGTTAAATTTTTGATAAATCTAGTGCTTAAAAATTAAGTTGTGGGACGCCTGGGTGGCTCATCAGTTAAGCGTCTGCCTTCGGCTCAGGTC